CAGGACCTCCCTTCTTCACTCTCCCCATTCATATTCAGTAATACACTGGGCAATTGTTTGATGGTGGTTACAAACGCAGCATAGTGAGTGAAGATGCTTGTGATGCCAGCCTGCTGTAATGGTCGTCATGATGACTTCAATTCCTCTTATCTTAGTTAGTTTTATTTCCTCTACCAAAATGAAACATTACAGATTCAGAGCCAAATAATCTAGTCTTAACTGTTTCACACATATGCTACAACTATCCTACAGTGCCTTTTTAACCTATGATAACTGAAATTAGTCTCAGATCTTTATAGTTTAAATTTCCTTCTTCCATTTCTTATCAGTGTTAGCTTCTTTTGTTTAGCCTATTTTAGCAGGTTTTCAGACATTTTCCTCAGATTCTCATATTCAGTACAGTTTAAGTCCTATGTATGTCGAAAAACAGAACATTGCTGGTGCATATCTGCAACCAGTTCTCATGCCTTCACATGGTACTTGAGGGGGAAACCCCTGCGTTACAGAGAATGTCACTGTACATGTTCTCAGAAGGAATTGTGACTTATTGGCCTTCATAAAGAATCCTAATAGACATCTGTTTATTTTTATTAGTGCCTTTTAAAACTGCTGCCTTGTTCAAAGCACTTTATACAACTAAATGTGTGTGAGATTTAATAGTTGACTTCTTTTCGCAAAACACCTGGTGAGTGATCATTGGTACGCATGTTGTTAAGTTTAGGAGTCAGACTTAGATGTGCTGTGATCCATTTTACTTTTTTGCTTTAGAGCAATTTCCCAAGTACAGAGTACAACTACACCCAATACAATTGTAACTAAGGAGATCGCCAGTCAGTGAAGTTATGGCTGTTGTTGCGCTCAGTTGTGTTCATGTTAAATTCCGAGTGAAGAGAATATGTGAGGATGGTGCTTTTTTGTGTGTGTGTGCGTATGTTTTGGCTAGAGTTTCTATGAACTGAAGTGAGTAAACTGGAGAGTTTATTATGGCGGGCAGGAAGTTAGAGTTAATTGTCATGACCATAACAGCAGGCTTGGCACAACTAAATATGAAAACACTGGGCCCAAGTAAGCAACACTAATAATTTAAGAAGTGCTAAGTTAATAATGTTACACCAAGTCATTGAACCCCAAAACTTGGGTGACTGAATTGAGCACATGCTTGCATTTTGACGTTGTAGCATGTAAAACTTAGTCAGTGCACAGTTTAAAAAAAACACAAGACAAGTGCAAAATACATGTGGCAAAAAACACTTCCTTTCCTCCTCTGAATTATATTCATGTCTGCATTCTTTCTCTCTCTTCAGTTTGTAGTTAACGAACTATCGCTGGAGAAGTATGTTCCCATTTACCTTTTAACAGCCTCTCCATTCAAGTGAGACTTGGCATTTTGACACTGAGAATATAAAACACTTTAAAGATAATTCTCTGGAGTTGAAAAAAGTGACTGCTCCTCCTCACAAAGCTGGAATTTATGTGTGTGTATGGATTTTTTGTTTTTGTTTTTTTAATTGGAGGAATTTTAAGTGTAAACCCACATTTTAAGAATATGATTTCTAAAAACTGACAGACTACAGTGACATGTGTAAACCTTTCACGCTCAGAGTTTAGGTGTTAAGTTGTGTGGACATATCTCAATGTTACGCTTGGTTTGTGTACACTGACAAATTGCCTTTTACTATCATCTTAAAAAACCACTCGTTTAGTCACCATCTCTGAGTATTTCCACTGCGGAGTTAGTTCTCTGTCGCTGCACACATTTGACCATTTGTCTCCATTCCACTCTGATTCAGAGCCGCCCTTTCTGGCTGGCTCTTTCTGAATGTTGTTTGTTGCTCTATTCCTATCATATTTGAGGACACACAAAAATGCTGGGATATTTTTCTTTCTAGGTGGGATTTTAACTTTCATTATGTATATATTCTGCCTAGAAAGTATGCATTGTATCAAGTTACATATGGTTTGAACCCGAAACTTTTTTTTTTTCTGTTATGCCAACTGATTAGTTCCAGCTACTGTAACAAAACAGGTTGTAGTCATCTTTTTTTTCTTTTGAGTTATTCATGTTGTAAAGAAGATGAGAATGTATTTATCTTTATTGGATTGTTACTATATTCATAGGCCACGGCCAAGAGTTTGAATGTTAGGTCAATCAGACCTCACATAGATGCCAACTTTGTTTATGCGGACACATTTTGTTCACTTTTGTGTCATAGTTTTGTGTGAGGGAACCTGGATTTTGTTATCAGTCGAAAGACTTCTCCACCAGCCTGGATTAGATTTTGTTTTGTTTTATTTGTTTGACTTTAACGTTCAGATATTTCTCCTACTGACTGAAAGCATGTAGGATACTGAATGAGAATCAGCGACAGAAAATAGCGATCCTTTTTATGGTCCAACACTGTGCCATACCTTAGTTGCCAAGCCCAGATACCACTGCATTTGTTTCATCTCCATGGTTGTAACCTATCATTGGGCTGACCACATGTAATGTATGAAACAAAACAACAAGGTTCTGGTGTAGTGGCCAAAGTAAAAAGGCTTGAAAAGATGATGGGGTGACAGGCAAATTCTGAAAAAGATATTGCATTTCTTTGAAGATGTCAGTATTGTTTGCCACATTACCACTACAACTTATAACCTATAATAAAATGTATAGATGGTGGAACTTGTTATTGAATGTCAGAGAGATTATGAAGATACTACATAAGATATGGTAAAGTACAAAAAGTGGATTTAAATTGTGTACAAATATTGATAAGCAGAATTAAAAATAGGATCAAATTTACTATATTGTTTGTATTGTATTTACTATTGTGTGGGCAGAGGGATATTGAACAGAAATCAGCTGTAATAAAGTAATTTTAGTATGGCTTACTTTGTGGTTGTGTATTTTTTTTTTAATGTATTTTGCTTCAATAATCACATTAAACACATTTATTTTTTAAAAAAGCCATGATTAAGTGGAAATGAATAAGGCTGAGTCCATGAACAGAAACTGTTTAAAAGTACCCAGGTTGGAACCCTATTGCCTGCTTTAATTGAACCAAAGATTCAACAAGGTGCTGGAAACATTCCTCAGAGATTTTGGTCTTGATAGCATCACAAAGTTGCCTCTGATTTGTCGACTACACACATCCGTGTTGCAAGTCTCCTGTTCCGCCACGTTGCAAAGGTGCCCTGATCGTGTTTGGCTGGAGGTCATATGAGTACAGTAATCCCTTTGTCTTTGTCATTGATCTAGATTTTTGACATGGAACATTATCTTGCTAGCAGAAGCTATTAGAAAATGGATTCACTTGCTATAAAGAGATGGACATGGTCACCAATAATACTCATTGTTCCATTAAAGGGCCCAAAGTGTGACAAGAAAACATTTCTGACATTACACCACCTGCACCAACATATGATACAAGGCAGGATGGATACACAATGTCATGTTGTTTGTACCAAATTTTGTCCCTCACTGAATATGAACTCTTTTCTAGACCGTTCTTTGTGAACCCTAGACATGGTTGTGTGGCAAAATCCCAGGAGACCATCAATTTCTGAAACAGACCAGCCTGTCTGCCACCTCACAATGCTCAAAATCACCTTCCTTTCTTGTTCTGATCCTCGGTTTGACCTTTAGGCAAGCTTGACCAAGTTAACACGTCTGAGTAGTTACTGTGTGATTGGTTGATTAGAAATTTACCTTAAGCAGTTGAACAGGTGTAACTAATAAAGTGGCTGGTCAGTTGTTGTTGTTGTTTTTATTTTTAATCTATTGTTAAATTAATTGGCAAAATCTTTAAATTTAATTAAAGTACATTTTAAATTGGTAGAAGAAAATAATTTCGGGAATATTTTATGATTCTGTTTTATGTATGAAAAATATAAACCGAAAATTACAGTACAGCAGAATATGTCGTTTTCCCCCCAAATTAACAAAACATTGTCTCTACATATAGAAGCTATTGATAATTTTATAATTGAATTACATTATCCAGAATAGAATATGTATTGTGAGAAAAATACGGTAAGTAGTTTAATTTGGAGGCCTGACAGGACCTATCAGCGTCCGCGGACCACGGCTTCGCAATATAAATGAACCGATGTTGTAATTGGTTCTGAAAGCGGAACTGCGCTTGACGCGTAATGTGACGAGCATTGTAAACAAAAGTATGGTAAATGTTTCCCTAGCCTAGAAAAGAAGGAATGCTGTCTCAAGAGTCTTTTCCTTGAGTAAGGTAAGAGGCCTAAAACACAAATTCCCCTATTTAGATACCACTTTCTTGTTAACGGTATGGGTGTGTATGGCAAATGAAACGTTAGCTAAAAGCCAGTGGCTCTAGTTTTCTCCTCTCTTGTAGCTAACATAACTCGATTTCTGCACCGAAACTCGCGCAAACAGCTCATTATTCTAACGTTATCGTTAAGGTAAAAGTCAAATACAATGGTTAGCTCAAGCACCCATGCACTCTCAACGCTCGAAAGTGTCTAGGTAGATGGCTAGCGGGACTGTTTATAGCTTGACATTAGATGCCACGCTAGCTAGCTACTCTGTGTGTGTGTGTGTCACGCTGATCGATAATCGTGGACATTAAATAACATATGACTCTGCGCAGGTCTTGTGCGGTCAATGTCGATGAGTTTGGCAAAACTAGCTTTCATTTCTTTGTTCATAATTAATGATTTTTTTTTTAAATGTACGTTTTCTAAAAGATGAAAGATTAGCGGCACCAGATATTTAACATCAGTTAATGAGTTTCTGTTCTTGTTGTCAATGACTCTCAAACATTCTTTTCCAC